ACATTTTCCTTTCTGTTCCTGTTATAGGGTGTTTTATCCGATGGTACAGTAATTGCAGTTAAGCAGCTCTCGTCTAAGTCGAAACAAGGAAATCGAGAATTTGTTAACGAGATAGGCATGATATCCGCCTTGCAACATCCAAACCTCGTAAAGCTTTTCGGCTGTTGCATAGAAGGAAATCAGTTGCTTTTAATTTACGAGTACCTGGAGAATAACTGTCTCGCGCGAGCACTTTTCGGTAAATATTTATTTATATCTCCTCTCACATTTTTTTCCTGATTTTTTCTTTCTTTTATACGTGTTCTTTTCATTTAGGCCGTGAAGAACAAAGATTAAACCTCAACTGGTCCACGAGGAAGAAGATATGTATCGGCATAGCAAAAGGTCTTGCGTATCTGCATGAAGAATCGAGGTTGAAAATCGTGCATAGGGATATAAAGGCTACTAATGTTCTTTTGGATAGAGATCTAATTGCTAAGATATCCGATTTTGGTTTAGCTAAGCTCGATGAAGAAGAGAACACGCACATTAGCACACGAATTGCTGGAACTATGTAAGTCCTCCGGTTTTCTTTTCCAAAAATCCCACTTCGCGAAAGTTTTTTTTTTCTTTTCGCTAAATTCAGAGTAAAATATTTTTTGCAGTGGTTATATGGCTCCCGAGTACGCAATGAGAGGCTATTTAACGGACAAAGCAGATGTCTACAGCTATGGAATCGTCTTACTAGAAATCGTTAGCGGCAAAAGTAACACTAATTACCGGCCAAAAGAGGAGTTCGTATATCTGCTCGACTGGGTAAAACTTCTTGTATAGTCGGTTTTTTCGCAGTATTGTCCAAAAAAATGCCTCTATTTGCTCATGCACAAACACTACATATTATTATTCTTTTCGTAGAAGCAAATTACGAATACTTGCTCGTTTTACTTGTTATGTAATCGTTTTTTCTCTTCTTTTCCTTTTTTTTTTTTTTTTTTTTTTTTTTTTCTTTTTGTTGTTGTTTTTTGTTATGCTGAAAAATAGTATATGGGTTTTGTATATGGTNCGTTAAAGGCTTACGTTCTACAAGAACAAGGGAACCTTCTAGACCTCGTGGACCCCACGCTCGGCTTGGATTTCTCCAAAGAAGAGGCACTGAAAATGCTAAACCTATCGCTACTCTGCGCGAACCCTTCACCGACTTTGAGGCCCACAATGTCATCGGTTGTGAGCATGCTCGAAGGTAAAGCAAAGGTGCAAGCGCCGCTCGTCAAGCGTGGGCCCGCAGGCGAAGATGTTCGGTTCAAAGCTTTCGAGGTGCTCTCGCAAGATAGCCAAACGCGAGTCTCGAAGATTTCTCAGGATAGCAGTCGGGAGCAAAGGGGTGTGTCGATGGATGGGCCGTGGGTCGACTCGTCGGTTTCGCTCGGGAGCAAAGATGAGAGTGGGGACCACAAGTCGGATAGGCGGCTTCTGCCGGACCTTTACGACGTGAATATGGATTGAGTTTTTTTCTTTTTTTAATTTATGGTAGATTGAAATGTTTTGGTTTTTAGATGTGTATTTTTTGGTTTTTTGCTATAAGATGGTTTTGTTTTGTTTTTTATATTTATGGTAGATGGAAATGTCTTATTTTGAGATGTGTATTTTTTGGTTTTTTGCTATAAGATGAAGAGGAGGATTTAATAAGACCTTGATTAGTTGAATAGAGTGTTATATGTCTCCCACCAAATATGTAAAATTAGATGTATTTTGTTTAAAGATAATAACTGTTAATAGAAGTTAGTTTTTTTTTTTTTTTTTTTTTTTAACGAACAACGCCCCTAGGGGAAGGGGATNCATGTGCACTTTACTAATATTGATCAAATAGAACAAATAGAAACAGGAATAACCTTTAAAATTCCACCATAAATTGGGTTGGTAAACTAATCTTTCATTGTCCAATAAAACCATCACACTAGAACTACCCTCAAGTATGACCTAATTACAGAACAATCCAATTAACCTCCAAAAATGACAAATATTCTCTATTTGAGACACAAAAATCAGCTGGTATTTTACAATTGCAGGTAGAATTCCCATAATAATTAAAAAAAAAAAAAAGCCAAGAAAAATTTTCAGAAGTAATTACCATGAGGGGGACTTGGGGGGAAGCCTATTGACCGAGTTGGCTAAGATTAACAATCTCCTTCAGCAATCGACTCACTGAGTTGTTTATCTTCAGGCACTTCCAAATTTTCAGGAACCGATCCCATAGCATACATGACGAGGACTTGGATCACTTTAGCCAAACTCAATTGGGTAGATTTATTCCATCCCTTATTAGCATGCTTGCACGAGTTTCTTAACGTGCACGTTCCGCAAACCTGAATATGGAAAAGCTCATCTTGCAGTTGGGTTATGAAAGAAATAAAGCTTTTTTTTTTTTGGGTCTCTGTTATCAAGATAATACTTTTGTATATAGCCCTTGATAAAATTGTTCAAAGAACTTGCCTTTTGTTCCTCGATTTCAAAGAACTGGCGCATGTGTTTAGCAGCATATATGGACTTATGCCCATAAGATGGGCACCCGAAAAGAGCTATTTTTTTAAGATCACTAGCGGTTAACCACCTGAGAAAACCATTGATAAAAGATGAAGAGCAATAAAGGAATTTTTAATAAATAAGACGGACTAATAGGAATTACCATGAAATATTCATTCCCATGAGAATGGGATGGTATATTTTAACATCAAGATATCGGGTAAAACTGGATCAGATATGGTGATGAAAACAACTTCAGAGCAATCAAAACATGTCAGTCTGTGGCGAGAAATGAAGTATTTTGCTGCAAACATTGCACACAACCAATTTGTGAGAATATGAAATTGGTCGTTTTTCATAATGCAAAATACAAATACAGCTCAAGTAATATATAAATGAGAACAAAACCGGCAAGAAAAGGGAACCAAATTCCATATCTTCCATATAAGCATAAAATCTCTCCTAATATATATACTCTTTAGTATTTTGACATTCTAATTAGCTATAAAATAAGAACCAAAAATATCAGCTTCTGCTAGTAAGGGTCTCTACTCTCAAGTGCTACTTTTTTAAAGCAATGAATGAAGAAGTAGCAACACTTTTTCTCCCAAAAGGTACCAATGCACTACTAACATGCAATTATTTACTCAACAATCTTATCAGTCGACTGGGGGCTAATTAACCTTCTAAATGCCATCTCACTTTTCACATTTTCAAGTGTAAAAAACAAATCATAGCAGCTCATAAATATGAAGGAGGCACCACGCCAAGCATCCATACAGGCCACACGAAAAAAGAAAAATAAGAAAAGAATCAAATTTTAGCAGGATCAAACCCATAAGTATATGCAAAATTACTACTTCATACCAATCCAGTAACCAAATCACTCAAGCAAACATCCCAAGGCAATTAAACTGTCAGCCACACCGTAATGCACAATGCACTACAACTTTTAGCAAGATATACGGATTTCTTATTAGTTCTCTTACACAGCAATCTTCTGGTGATCTTCTCCAAACTTCACAGCCGCAGACTTCAAAAATTCCTGATCATAGCTCATCTCGAAGCACGTAACATGGAATTCATCCTTGGGAAGAAAATTCGCACCGTTTAAATCCTCGGGAGAAAGCTCTTTGTTTGGGTCCTCAAGGCCAAAGACTATCGGCAGCTTGTTTGATTTAACTTTCTCTTTCTTCTCAACAGCGAAGAGCGCAGACAAACTACTAACCTGAGCTCCATCTCGTTCGATTGGCTCGGTTTTTGCAGGAATGGGCGGCCTGGTTTTTCTTCCATTTTCATCCCTCTCCTTGCTTAGACTCCTCACAACTTTCTCCAATTCCCTCAATTTTTGTTTCGGATGAGCTGCTTCAGTGTCGATTGCCTTGGTACCATCATCGGCGGTGGAAATGGCGTTTCTGAAGAACTGGCTCAGCTGCGGCTCGGCGCTTCTGGGTCTTCTCCGCCGACGTTGCCGAGGATTGGGGCGATTGAGAAAGGGTCTCCGAGGAAGTGAAGAAATGAACGAAGAATCGGGGGTTTTGGACGACGTTAAGGATGTTAGATGATGAGGGTTTCGGATTCTGAGAAGCTTGCGGAGATGGCGGCTGCAGATGGGTCCCAGCACACTCATTTTGCTAGGGGTGGGCACGGTCCGGGACGGTCCGGGATTGGACCTGTCCCGGTACCTGTTCCGGTTTTTTGAACCGGTCCGGGACCGGTCCGGGACGACCCCTCGTCCCAAATGGAACGGTATCAACCGAGACCGGGACAAAACGGTTCGGGACCGGGACAAAACGGGAAAAAAAATGTTCAAAAATCAAACTTCAAACTAAACTATTCCGGGAATAGTTTAGTTTGAAAGGAAAATAAAAATAAAAATAAAAGCAGAGAAGAGTGAAAGGAAAAAAAAAATAAAAAAAACCTGTTAAGATTTCATTAATAAATATAAATTAATGTATAATGTATATATATATATATATA